GGCGGTGGGGGGGGGGGGGGGGGGGCGTTAATTGAGTGCAGTTTGCTTTGCAAAAATGAATTCATACAGGTTTGAAACAACATGAGGGTGAGTAAAAAATGATTTTCTTTTTTGGATGGACTATCCCTTTAAAGAAGTCAGATTTTGCTTCTGTCAAAGGTGACTCAAGCATGAAACTTAAAATCTTGTGTAAAACTTTTAAAGGTGGATTTTGGCTTTGCTAAGAAGATCGGCTTTGGAAAGAAGACGTGGACATTCTGTGGTACACCAGAGTATGTGGCTCCAGAGATCATCCTGAATAAAGGTCATGACATCTCCGCAGATTACTGGTCCCTCGGCATCCTCATGTATGAGCTGCTGACTGGCAGGTCAGACACAGGGCTTCACGTCTTTGAAAACACCATTTCAAACTGATTAAACATTATTAATGTATTAAGACTTTGGATTTATACTACACATGCAATGGTTTTTAAATCCTCTTTATTTTTCAGTCCTCCTTTTTCAGGACCGGATCCAATGAAAACGTACAACATCATTCTTAGAGGCATTGACATGATAGAATTCCCTAAAAAAATTACAAAAAATGCTGCCAATCTCATCAAAAAGCTATGCAGGTATGTCCATCACTATAAAACCCATTGGCTGTCTATTAGCGGTTCTTGTTAATGCAGATTTCTCTTTTGTTCTTCTCAGGGACACGCCGTCTGAAAGACTAGGAAACTTGAAAAACGGTGTCAAAGACATCCAGAAGCACAAGTGAGTTGGATATTCACTTTAAAACATGAACATGAAAAATGAGCTGATATAGTTCTATGAATCATCTCATGTAATGAACGTGTTTGCAGATGGTTTGAAGGGTTTAACTGGGACGGATTGAGGAAGGGGACACTGATGCCCCCCATCATCCCTAATGTAAGTGCTTACGCTCATGCAAGGCAGATTTTACACTGATGTTAGGCCAGAAACATACTCTATGCACGTACTGTATGCATTACGGGGTTTGTAATGGTCACAAATCTTAACTGGATGTGTTTTTACTCAGATAGCTAGTTATAAACATGTCTAAATTTAGCAAACTTGCCTTGGTCTCTACGAATATTGCTTGGGAAAAAAACCCCCGGAAAAACGTAAGAGATGTGTGTACATAACAATTTGGAGTAAAAAAAATGTTTTTATTGAAATAAATTAATACTTTTATTCAGCAGGGATGCATTAAATAGTTCAAAAGTGACAGTAAAGATATTTATAACGCTACAAAAGATTTATATTTCAAATAAATGTAAAAAAAAATCTTGAGCAGCAAATCAGCATATTAGATTGATTTCTGAAGGATCATGTGACACTGAAGACTGGAGTAATGATGCTGAAAATTCAGCTTTGCACCACTGGAATAAATTACATTTCTAAAATAAATTAACCTAGAAAATAGTTAAACAGCAATATTATTTCACAATATCACTGTTTGTACTGTATTTTTAATCAATTGGTGAGTATGAGACTTTCAGAAACATTTAAAAATGACCAACCCAGACCTTTGAATGGTAGTGTATTACTCAAATGCTAACAGATTTTATTTTTTTTTTTTTTTTTTTTTTGTGGTCATGCAGGTAACATCATCCACGGACACCAGTAACTTTGACAGCTTTCCAGAGGACAATGAAGACCCACCACCTGATGATAACTCAGGCTGGGACACAGACTTCTAAACAGGCCTAAACACACACACGTGCACACATACACACACAACACTGCTCACATGGGATGTCTGCCTGGGATAGACATGCTGCACTACAGGATGGACTGGAGGGGAAATGTGGGAAGAAGCAGAAGGAGAAGAGGTGGATGAAATTAAGTAACTCTAAAAGGACTGGCGAGACCCGGAGACAAAACATGAATCTCTTACGTGAGCATGTGTCTGTGTGCGTGTTCACCACTGACCCATGATAACCACCTTTACTGTGAGATGACTGAGGAGACAGTCCATTTAGGGAAGAGCTTGTGACCTCAGTGATTTGTTCTTCTCCCTGATTGGCTGTGAACTCTTCATTCACCAATCCGTGTGCAGACTACTCTAAAAAAGACCACACTGTATGTCGCAGGAGTCCAGACCGACCTGAATGTTGCTCTTAAAGTAATACTCGTTCATTATAGCACATGTACATAATAGCATAGTATCACTACCCTGAAAAACTGACGCATATGCCGGCGTTCCTGACATGTATCGGATTATCTGTCATGTGCATCATAATACATCAATCGTTAGACTCAGTTTCACCTTCTTCAAGCACACACAGACATCATAGACGCATCTTCTCGCTGATAATTTATTGTCCTGGCGGACAGCCATTATAGTTTATGATATTCTGAACCCAGTGCTGGTCTTCTCAAACTTCATCCCATGAAATGATGTGCCTCAAATGCATAGCTACATTAATAGTGTACTGTATTTATTGTCTCAGATTTATAAGAATTAGGAGATAAGTACTGACCACTGTGAACGGCCGGATTTTAAACAGGAACAGAGTGTCATCATTAAAAGAGGAACGGCTGTGGGATTGGTTTGCCTTCTATGGCCATTTCTTAAAACCAACTAATTCAAATGCACGTACAACATAATCCTGATTTCTCCAGAAATTAAGCCGTATCAGATCAACAGTATTAGTGCCTTAAATCAACGGCATTCTGCGACGCTCCTCATGCTGCATGTCAGAATACAATCCCCTCAGCCTGCTGCTGTCCATCAGACGCCCTGTCTAGGTTTTTTTTGTTTTTGTTTTTTTACACAATAAAGCAACTGTTTTAGACACTCCCTAGTGTCCTCACATGATCTTCCACTGTCTTTTATGCATCTGAAATGTGAATTGTTTTACTTTTTTTTTAAATTCCAAAATGGACATTCTGTCCTGTTTATTCACCCTCACGATGTTACAAACTTATATGACTTCCTTTGAAACACACAAGTATCTTCTTGTGTTCTAAAAATGCTTTTTAAAAGGTTTTTCAAAGGTGTCTTAAGCTCACCAACAATGCATTTATTTAATTAAAAATACAGTAAAATATGATTTGTATTATATACATATATAATACTGTGCATAATTTATTATATTTTAAAATGTAATTTATTTCTGTGATTCAAAGCTGAATGTTCAGCAGCCATTACTCTAGTCTTAAGTGTCACATGATCCTTCAGAAATCGTTCTAATATGCTGATTTGCTGCTCAAATACATTATTACTATTATTATTATTTAATGAATATATTTATTTGAAGCTTGACAGTACATGGTCTTTCTTTATATAGAAAAGCATGATCAGGACATTTTTTTTTAAATTTCACCTTTTCATAAATCCTGAGGGTGAGTAACTGATATTTTACTTTTTGGGTGAACTGTTACTTTAAGGGCATGAAGCTGCTGGGTCTCTCAGATGTGATCTTACAGCTGTGTGATATGATGCCTTCAGTGGCAAAGCAATTTATCTTGATCACATTTAGATACTTCATTCTCAACACTACTACAGGCTGTGTATTTGTACAGTGTGCTACATTCCATCTGTATTTAAAGTTGAATGATTGTAGTGAGTAAATTTCAGGGCTGGAAATCCAAATGTTGCTGGTTTGATACCTCAGAGGATATACTGTAAGTCACTCTGGATATGTCTAAAAATGGATAGGTAAATCTCACAAAACATACACTGGTTATATTTCACTCAAAAATCAAAAGAATGAATATAAGAAATTAAATTCTGGAAAAGGAAATGTAATGCCTTTAGTACCATTAAGATGATTAAATAATTTGTTTATATATTTATTTTGCATTATGGCATTTTCATAACCAAGTACATTACTGGATATGCATATGAATGTTTTACTTTTGATTCGTGTTCTCCATGAACACCATACCAGTCAAAAGTTAAGATTTTTTATATTTTTAATGAAGTCTCTTATTGCCATATTTGATTTAAAATGCAGTAAAACCGTAATATTGAAATGATGTGCGCCAAATGAGTCGCTGTAGAAACTGAATATTTTAATGGTTGCGGACGACAAACGCAATGACGTGAAATAAAACGTGCTCGTGTATTAAAGAAGAGTGGCTTGATAAAGTGCTGGAAATAGCGGATAATGGGCACAGAACGGTAACAAAACAGAGACATTTACAGTCACACACAGGTGTATTGTGCAAACTGTACTTCATAGAGATGTTTAGATGTTTAGAATTCACGTTCACGTTTTTTAAAAAATATTTACCTTATAGATCTCAGTTTAAATGCTTCAGTTTGTTTTTATATTATATTATATTATGTTATATCAAATATTATAAACCTAATAAATAATTGACCTTGTTTTCTTATGCTCATCAAGGATGTATTTATTTGATCGAAAATACAGAACAAAACCCGTTGTGATATATATATATATATATATATATATATACACACACACAATATTGTGAAACATTATTGCAATTTCTAATATTGGTTTCCTATTTTAATATACTTTAAAATATAATTTATTCCTGTGATGAAAAGCTGAATTTTCAGCATCATTACTCCAGTCTTCAGTGTCATATGATCCTTCAGAAATCATTCTAATATGCTGATTTATTATCGGTGTTGAAACTGTTGTGCTGCTTGGAACCTGTGATACTTTTTTCTTTGAATTTTTGATGAATAAAAAGTTAAAAAGAACAGCATTTATTCAAAATAGAAATCTTTACTATCACTTTTTATCAATTTAACACATTCTTGCTGAATAAAAGTATTAATTTCTTTAAAAAAAAGAAAAATATTACTGACCACAAACTTTTGAATAGTAGTGTATATTGTAACACAACATTTCTATTTTGAATAAACACTGTTCTTCTTTAACTTATCAAAGAATCCTGAAAAAATATTACAGGTCCCAAAAAAATATTGGGCAGCACAACTGTGTTCAACATTGATAATAATCAGAAATGTTTCTTGAGCAGCAAATCAGCATATTAGAATGATTTCTGAAGATCATGTGACACTGAAGACTGGAGTAATGATGCTGAAAATTGCTTTGCTTAATAGGAATAAATTATATTTTAAAGTATATTATAATAGAAAACTTTTATTTTAAATTGCAATAATATTTCACAATATTATTTTGTGAAATAATATTCAGTATTTTTATCAAATAGATACAGCCTTGATGAGCATAAGAAACTTTAATAAACATTATTGATCCCAAACTTTTGAATGGCTGTGTATTATAAAAGTTACTCACTTTTTTGTGTGCGCGCTGTACAGGTCTGGTATAAAGAATGTTTTTGCTCAGGTGG